TAATAATGGCAAGAAATGAGCCCTCTGCCCATTGCTACCATTCGGGTCATTTAGGAGAGTGGAGAAACCATACCAGGGAGATGAGGACTGAAAGATTCATCCTCAACAAATAACAAGACTTCATTTACAACTAGATTTAAAATGGCTTCAGCATTGAGGCCTTGGGCTTAATCCCAATACTGGCAAAACAACCAAGCAAAAGCAAACGAATCATTGGGCTGGGAAGGTGGCTCAGTGGTAGAGCACTTGCCTTGCATGCCTGAGGCCCTGGGTTCGATTCCTCAGCACCACATAAGCAAAAAGAAAAAAGCCGGAAGTGGCGCTGTGGCTCAAGTGGTAGAGTGCTAGCCTTGAGCTGAATTGCTGAGGGACAGCGCCCAGGCCCAGAGTTCAGGCCCTATGACCGGACCCAAAAAACAAAACAAACAAAAAGTAAATGAATCAAATGGCTGTGGAGAACAATGTCACAGGTTATTGTGAAAATACCTTTAATGATATAAAATACTTTTTAATGATACAAAATTCTTGAGAGTAGACATTAATGATGAAAGGAATCATGGTAGAAAGACCTTGAACTGAAGTTCATGTTGAATGTTAGATGTGAATTTTATGGAAAATACTGGTTTCCCTGGGTTAAAAAAAGGTTAACCGATTCATGTGTTTTAAAAAATTTTGAATCAGGAAATTCCAAATAATGATTTAGTCTTGTCTGAGTTTTTAAAATTTCCTCCCAAATATTTGCAACAAAATTAGGCAAGAAATGAATAGAGCACCTCAGAGTTTGAACTGGAGAGGGTCACAATGAAAGACTGAATGTTGTTTTCTAAAGCTATTTGTTAGAAAATGTGATTTTTTTTTTTTTTTGTGGGAGAAGAAGTATGCTGATTTAGGATGACTTTCAGGATTACAGCAGTTAAGTATCTTCAAACAGATTTGAAAATTATTCTTTATATGATTTTGAATTATTTCCATGTTTTTTAAATACAGTATTAAAATTTTATTGAAATGAATCTGTCTCACTAAAACTGATTATAAAGAAATAATTTTTCTTTTTATATGGGGGCTTGAACTCAGAGGTTTTTTTTTTTTTTTTTAAAGTACTGTTTTTTTGTGCTGGTCCTGGGGATTGAACTCAGAGCCTGGGCACTCTAAGCTTTTTTGCTCAATGCTAGTGCTCTACCACTTGAGCCGCAGCTCTACTTCTAGCTGTTTTGGTTAGTGTATTGAAGGTAAGAGTCTCACAGACTTTCTTGCCTGGGCTAGTTTCAAACTGGAATCCTCAAATCTCAGCCTCCTAAGTAGCTATGAGTGAGGCATGAGCCACTGGCACCCAGCAAACAGAGCTTTTTACCTACTAGGCAGGTGCTCTACTTATGAGCCATGCCTCTGGCCTTTTTTACTCCAGTTCTTTTAGAGATAGGGTCCTCTTACCTTTTGTCCAGCTAGCCTGGACTGAAATCCTGTTGTTTACATCTCCTATATAGCTGGGGTGTCAGGCATGAGCAACTCTGCCCAGCCATTGGTTAAAGTGGGGAAATGGGGTCTCATGACCAGGCTGGGTCTTAAACCATAGTCATCCAATCTCAGCCAGCCGATGTAGCTAGAATTACAGGCATGAGAGATTCCACTCAGCTATAAAATAATTCATTTAAAGCAAAGTCCTGCTTTGCCATTGATTTTCATTTTAAAACTTAAAAAATTCCATCTTCAAATAGAGTAAGAATTAGTGAAAATTCAAATATAGGGCAGCTTTTTAAATAACCGAAATATGTTGAAGAGTTTCTGTTCTCAACCTTTCTTTCTTGTTTGTTCCTGGCAGTAGTTTGTGAACTGCCTGTTATGAAGCTTCTTCGATCCTTTCATTTTATTAGAATATTTAAAATATCTGTTTATGAATGTTCAAGCCGCCATATTGTGTGTTTGTGCACACAATGTGTTTGTGCTAGTACTGGGGCTTGAACTCAAGGCCTGAATGCTTAGCTCTTTTGCTCAAGGCTGGTGCTCTACCACTTGAACCCCAGCACCACTTCCAGTTTTCTGGTGGTTAATTGGCGATAAGAGTGTCACAGACTTTCCTGCCCTGGCTGGCTTTGAACCGCAATCCTCAGATCTCAGCTTCCTGAGTAGGTAGGATTACAGGCGTGAGCCACCAGTGTCTGGCCCCAAATGGATTTAACAGCAGAAATATTATCTTAGATTCTTGTGAGGTTTATCACAATAAAGTAATATTTTATATCCAGGTAGTTGATTTTATTTCTCTTCTGCTGTGGAGTTTTAGAAAGCATACAAAAAAGAAAGTGAAAAGCATCATAGGGCTTGAGTGACAGTCCAAGGGCTGCTGGGTGCACAGCACGCTCAGGCCCTTCCCAGTGTTCTCAGAGGACAGAGCCCATGGAGTGCTTAGCACTGACACGATGGAACTGTCATTAAACTGGCCCTCAGCGCTATGGGCTTATCATTATCCTCCGTAACTAGTTTGGGTCCTGTAAATGTCAATTTAAGAGTACAAGCTGGGCACCAGTGGCTCATGGCTATAATCCTAAGTACTCTGGAAGCTGAGATCTGAGAATTGAGTTTTGAAGCCAGCCCAAGCAGGAAAGTCTATACCAACAAACTACCAAAACGCTGGAAGTGGAGCTATGGCTCATGCTAGAATTGGGGAGGGGGGTGAGGGGGGGAAGGGTGGCTGGAAGCACCTAGGCTCTGAGTTCAAGTTTCAGGATCAGTACACACAGTTCAATGGAGCTTAGTGATTCTGTTCTTCCGGTTGCTGTTTTTGCTTGGTAAGGCACTTATCATTGCTGCATACTTGTCACAGAATCAGAGAAGCAGAATTGAAGATTGGAGCAGCTAGAAGTCCCTAGACCCTCTTTGAAGTCCTGTCTTCACCTTGCATAAACGGAAAGAGGTGTGGCTTATACATGTGGGATTAGGTGTTCTAGCTTTTTTTTTTTGTCCAAACTGGAACTCAGCATCAGATGTTTGCTCTTGATTATTGGCTGGCACTCCACCACCTGAGCCATACCTCCAACCCCTGGATTTCTTTATGTATATATATAAGGGTTACAGTTGCATAAGTCAGGTAACGAGTATATTTCTTTTTGGACAGTGCGCCCTTTCTTTTTTGTAAAGTAGTAAATGGTTGTCCAAAGAGGTTACAATTCCATATTCTGGTTTTGTGTACAGTGCATCTTGATCAGTGCCATCCCTTTCTGCCCAGCTGTATTTTTTTTCTCTTTTTTTGAACTCTAGGAGACCTTCAGCAAGTCAACCTTTTTCAAAATATTTATGTGCTCCCTCTTGATAGAACACTTGAGTAAGTAGCCTTTTGTTCTATTATTGTGATGTCATCAGTTTTTCTTTTATGTAGTATTTCTCTACTGATAAAATTACCTTGCTTCATGTGTATGTGTGCGCGTGCGTGCACACGTGTGCTGATTGTAGGGCTTGTACTCAAGGCTCTTGGCTTTTTCTCAAGGAAGCCACACCTCCACTTCCAGCTTTTTTTTGCTGGTTCATTGGAGATAAGTGTCTCTGATTTATGCACCTGGTCTGGCTTCAAACCACAATCTCAGCCTCCCAAGTAGCTAGGATTACAGGCATGAGTGTGTCCTCCCCCTTTTCTAGAATTGTTCCAAGTTTCCCTTCTCATATATTTATCTACCCAGAGCCAATGCTAGACTAGAATCAGCATTTCCGATAAAATTGCTCAACACCTACAGCAGTTGTGTGCCCATGGAGATGTTTGGGCCTTCCTCACATGGCTCCTCTGCAGGGGATTACTTTCTGAAACTAGCCACATCCACAAGTTAGTTCCCAGTCTTGCTTTTAATTTTTTTTTTTTTAATTTAAGGAACTATTTTCTAGAAAGCAGACAGTGAGCATTCCCCCCTCCCCCCCCCCCCCCCCATGCTTGAATGTGGGATCTCCAAAGAAGCTTATATTCCCAGACATAGTCAGGATAACTTCCAGAAGAGTAGCCATGTGGAAGTATGCCTGCAATTCTTGTGGGCTTTTAAAAGTTCCTGGTGTTCCTTGGGACTTCAAGCTGACATGATTTTCCTGAATCTTTCTGTATTTTGTTTGATGGACTGTATGTATCAAGTTACTCTGTGGGTAGAGACAGATTACTAGACTCTTTTTAACCTTTGTGTGTTTCATCCTTTAAAAAAAATTCCCATTGATTTGTATGTATTGAGGATTCAAGTAATTGTTCATTGGTCCTGAGGGCCATCTGCATGGGGTTTTCATGTAGTTACCTATTTTGATTATGTACTCTTCCCAAGGGAGCTCCATTTGTGACAAAGCCACAGATAGGACCCTTGAGTAAAAACTGCCCTAGAAACAAAGCAAGGCAGAGGTTTTATGTTTATCTGATTCCTGGGGTTTGCTGATTTGAAAGTTCTTTGGAAGGTTATCTCCTTTTCCCTGGAGGGATTGTAGAGTTTTCTGCTACAGGCAGGACTGCCCATCAACTGGGAAGCAAAGATACAACAGTAGAAGAGAGACAGAAACAGTTTTACTTTAAAGATCATTCAATCAAAAGTCAAATGTGAATATTCGATCAGGACAGTTCTTGATCAGATATGATCACCAAAAAGAGGAACTTCTTAGAACTATTACTACCATTTAAACCAATCCTGTTTCTTGAAGTATTTTTCTCATGGCAATCATTGCTGTCTTCGGTGGAACTAAAGTCTTTAGGTGCTTGCATGTGGACCTGTCTAGTGGAAAGCAGACCCAGACCTCAGGCCTGATTAGGACAAACATTAACCCAGAAGATGTCCTGTGTGAAGGTCAGGGGTCACAGGCGATGCCAGGTCAGACGCTGCCTGCAAGCCTTGTTTAAATATTACTAATTATTCCAGAAAGTGAGCATAAATATACTTGCTGCTCCTCTGTGTATGTGTGCGCGCATGCCTGTGCCAGTACTGGGATTTGAACTCCGGGCCTCAGGCTCTGGCTTGACTTTTTCACTCAAGGGTTGGCATACTACTACTTGAACAATACCTCCATTTTTTACTTTTTGCTGCTTAATTGAGATAAGAGTCTCATGGACTTTCCTATCTGGTCCTCAGATCTCAGTCTCCCCCGTGTCTGGGATGACAGGTATGCACCATGGTGCCTGGCAGATAGATACTTGCTGTTCTTTATTAACCTTTTGTGCCTGTTTAATTGTCACTACTTATGTGGCCTCAACTATTATGTTTTAATAATATTCTACTTTGCAATCCAACATACCCTCATCCTTAAACATAAGGGATAGTTATTAGTTTAGAAATCTTAATATAGAAAGTTTTAAGATTTGTATTATATATAAAATATTGAAGAATAAAAAACTACCCTGTTATCTAAATTTAGAGGTAATGAAATCCACTTTTCTGCCGCACATTTTACAGTTACCCTGGTATAATTAGAATGAACAAAATCCTGATAATCCTCATGCAAGAAGCTGGGGTTATGCAGTTACATGTAAATTCTAGTCTTGGACCTTCTCTCTCCCTGACAGCCACTCTCAGCAAGGTCTGAGTAGAATAAAGATAAAGCACCAGGGCTTTGTCACATCACTGAGCAAGAAGGAAGTTCAAGAGAAGGTCCTCAGAAAAACTGATTAGAAACTTTTGAGAGTTGGCAAAATTCTGAGGTCTTCAAAGTGTATAAGAAGCTATAGAGAATACCTGACTGCAGTTACAGTTAAGTTCTCATAAACATCATTGTTGACAATTCCTGGTTCCCCCCTCTTTTTTTTTTTTAATAGTTTTAAGGAGTAGATATAATCCAGACAAAATGGTAAAGAGGAGTCACATTTTTCTACCCTTGACATATAATTAAAGGGGAGACATTTCTAGTGGGAGGTTATTTTTTGTACGGCATCTGTGAAGATTTTACACTGTTTCTTATCTTGATCTTGAATTATTTTCTTTGGTGTTCCAGAATGGTTTTTTGGTGTGTCTGAAGTTTGAACTTGGGGACTTACACTTGCTAAGCAAATGCTATACCATTTAAACCACCCCTCTCCCTTTTTAGCTCATTTTCAGGTAGGGTCTCCAAGTTTTGCCCTGCCATCCTGGACTGTGATTCTCTCATTTCCACTTCTCACATAGCTGGGATCACAAACTGTATCAAGCTGACATCCCACCCAATTTGACCTCTGAGTACCTAGTGTTACAGATGTAAGCCACCAAGCCTTGGCCAGTACGGCCTTTCTTTAGCTTATTTTGCTTTCCACCAGGTCTTTGCCTATTGAGTTGAACTGATCCTCAGGGAAAAAAAGGTAAGCGAAATGCAGAGAAATGTGGGCACTTTCATGCTTAATATGCAAGAGTGTAGACTAGATGCTAGGAAATAATTGAGGCTTCCCTGCCTCCCCAAAAATATGTGAAGACAAACTATAGCTTGCTTTTGTCACTGGAATAAAAAGACTATACAGTGAAGACGTAGGAGCCAATGTATAACCATTTGACCACTTGGGTTCCTTCTTATTTCCTGATCTGAAGTATCACAGTTTGCTGATATAGAGGTATCTGAGGAGAGGTTTCAGAGAAAAGGTGGTTGTTGAACATTCTTAGGCCTTGTGAGAGCTGGAGGCCCTAAAGTAAGAGAGGAACTTGTAACAGAAGCTCACAATGAATAGCCAGATGTTCCGTGCTATCTGAGACCGGGTGATGAGAAGACGCCAGATGATGAGGAAGAGGACTGTGTTAAAGAGGTAGTGAATATTTCGGAGCCTGGAGGGAAGACAGACACACAAAGTGAACCATGGTATCCAGAAACTGACTGTATTGCCTTAAAGCACATCTGTCTCTTGACTAACCAAGTGTTTATTTAAATAGTCACTGTCTATGGGACTTGAACTCATGGCTTCATGTCTCATTCCCAAACCATTCCTTCCAGGGAATCAGATTTCTACCACATTCCCCTGACTACTTACTCTTTCTCCTATTCCTCCCAACTTGAAATTATTTTACAAGCATAACCAGTTTATCTTTTCAAAAATACCCTTCGATCTTAAGACCATATCTTAAATCCATGGCTCCTATTAACTAAAGAGTAAATTCTAAAGTTCTCACCCTGGATTTTTAATTCCTTTCTGTTTGTGATCTGTGAGTCCATCCTTACCATCTCTGTGCTACTGGAATTATTCCCTGTGTGCTATAATTCTTTATGCCTCTGAATTTGTGACTGGGAGATACATACAGAGGTCAAGGGACTTGAGTGGCTAAGTCTCTCTCCACCCCTCTCCCCCTTGTGCAGCATGATCAATTACCCTGAGGTCTGCATCCTGTGCCTCTTTATATGGGGTGCCTCTTTACATAGGGTGCCTGTATTTACTCTTGATGGCCATGGAGGATCTACTACTCCCTCCTTTGAGCCTATTTTCTGTGATAGAGATAAGAAAATAAGCTGGGTGCCCGTGGTTCACATCTGTAATTCTAGCTACTCGGGAGGCTGAGATCTGAGGATCACAGTTCAAAGCCAGCCAGGGCAGGAAAGTCTATAAGACTCTAATCTCCAATAAACCAGCACAAAACCGGAAGTGGCGCTATGGCTGAAGTGGTAGAGCGCTCGCCTTGAGCTGAAGAGCTGAGGAACAGTGCCTAGACCCTGAGTTCAAGCCCCACGACCGACCAAAAAAAAAAAACAGGTAAGGTGCCGGTGGCCCTGTAATACTAGCTGAGATCTAATGTTCCCAGTTCAACAAATCCAAGAGATTCTGGTCTCCAGTTAACCAGCAGAAAGCCAGAGATGGAGATGTGTCTCAAATGGTAAGAGTGCCAGCCTTAAGCAAATAATCTATGGAAGTGTGCAAGGCCCTAAATTTGAGCCTCATTACTGGTGTGCACCCACAACATCCACAATAAGAACTAAAAGAAATCATATCTGCCTCCTTGGGGCGTAGTGAAATCTAAAGGAAATCATATATTGCAGGGAGAATTGCTTAACCTGCTCAAATTTTGTGTAGTATAAGGTCAGATACAAAGGGGAGGACTCTGCAAATATTCCCTGGAATGATTGGGCTTTTTTTTTTCCCCTTTGTGTTGATCTTGGGGCTTGAGCTCAGGTCCTGGGCACTGCCCTTAGCTTTTTTCAAAACTCAAAGCTGGTGTTCTACCACTGGAGCCACAGCTTCACTTTCTTGCTTTTTGGTGGTTAATTGGAGAAAAGAGTCTCCTTGACTTTCCTGTCCAAGTTGGCTTTGAACCATGATCCTCAGATCTCAGCCTCCAGAATAGCTAGGTTGACAGGTGTAAGCCACTGGTGCCTAGGGTGATTATGCTTACCTTTTTAAGTGTTGCCTTGCTGCTGGGATTCCAGCCATATCTTCTTTCAGTAGGTATTTCTTAACTCCCAACACATAATTTTCAGTGTATTCCAACCAGTTCAGCTGGCGCACATCAAAATTGAATACCTGCAAGGAGAGAGAGCATGGTATTGCCAGAATCGTACCAGTGGGTGATGATTTCTGACCAAGCTCCTATTTAGGTTGGATTACAGAGATGTTATTTCAAAGCTTTCTGACAATAAAGATAAGCATTAGGGCCACACACACACATACACACACACACACACACGTATTTTTTTTTTTTTTTTGGTCCTGGGGTTTGAACTCTGGGCCTGGGCGCTGTTCCTCAGCTCTTCACCTCAAGGCCAGCGCTCTACTACTTGAGCCACAGCACTACTTCTGGTTTTCTGGTGGTTTATTGGAGATAAGAGTTTCATGGACTTTCCTGCCCAGGCTGGCTTTGATCCTCAGATCTCATCCTCCTGAGTAGCTAGGATTACAGGCGTGAGTTACCAGCATAGGTACTGTCTACTGTCCCTTAGCTTTTTTGCTCAAAGCGAGTGCTCTACCACTTGTTCCACAGCTCTACTTCTGGATTTTTTTTTTTGCTGGTTAGTTGGAGATAAGAGTCTTCCTGACTTCCCTGCCTGGGCTGACTTTGAATCATGATCCTCAGATCTCAGCCTCCTGAGTAGCTGGGATTACCAATGGGAGCCCAGTACCTAGCTCAAATTAACTTTCTAATATTAATATTTATTTTGAGTGAAGGAAGGAGCGACTCATTATACTCGTTATCGAATTGTGAAATGATAACCCATCTGTGCACCTCAATAATAACAATAAAATTATATTTATATTTATTTTGAGGAGTGCTAGAGATGAACCCAGAGCTTTGTATAAACTAAGCCACATATTCTCCCCCTGAGTTACCTTCCCAAACCTTAACATGAAATCTTGTTCATTTTTTAATTTAAAAAGTTTTTGTGCTAGTATTGGTGTTTGAACTCAGTCTCTCACTGTCCTTTATTTTTTTGTTCAAGGCTGGCACAGTACTACTTAAGCCACACCTCTACTTCCAGCTTTTTGGTTGTTAATCTGAGATAAGATCACTGGCATTTCTGCCTGAGCTGGTTTTTTGAGTCTCAGCCTCTTGAATAGCTAGGATGACAGGTGGTTCCTGGCTGGCACTGGGGCTTTGAGCCCAGGGCCTTGCTGAACTATCAGAGCTGTGCCTTGAACCCCCACTCCACCCCGACTTTTGTTTCTTTTATTTTCAGATGGAATATTAGTTATACTTGAACTTTTTGCCAACGCTAGCCTCCAGCCATGATTGTCTTCTTGGGGCCTTCCCAAGTAGCTGGGATTCATAGATGTGAGCATTCATCTGCTCCTTCATATTAATTTTAAAACTAAAAGTGCCTTTCTTGTTGCTATAAAGTTCTTCTATTATTTGATCCTTATAAAAGATGTATATGACTGCAACTTCATTAAACTGTTCTTTGTTTAGCACTAGTCTTTGATGGAGGATTAGACTGTACCAAATAAGAGACATTGTCAAATCCCAAAAGCCAGTCACCACTCACTATAAGTTTATTCACTTTAAAACAGGTGCAATGTGTGAGAATGTCTTGTGTTTATTTTATAACTTGCACCTATTGTTTATGATTGGCTGTTTCCTTTTATCTAGAGAATATTAAACTTACAACAAATATAATTCAATTTGATACCTTAAAGATTCAGTAGTTCTCTAGAGCTATTTATTTTGCCTCTTTTATATGAAAATAAATGTTAAATATTAGTCACCAAGAAACAGTCTTAGACCAAAGAAGGAAGTGATTAAATGTTAGTGGGCCTGTCTAATATTTTGTGCATTCATAAACATTTGTTGGTGGCTCTTGCCTGTAATTCAGGAGGCTGAGTAGTTGAGAATCATGGTTCAAAATCAGCCTGGGCAGGAAAGCCTATGAAACTCTGACTAACCAGCAAAAAGCTGGAAGTAGAGTTGTGGCTCAAGTGGCAGAGTGCTTGTCTTGAGCAAAAAAGCTAAACAAGAGTGTGAGGCCCTGAGCTCAAGCCCTAGTGACAACATTAAAAAAAAAAAAAAAGATGGGCTAACAGGAACTGAGAGCTTACTCAAAAAATAAATACTGAGGGTTTACGAAGTGACTGAATTGCAGTATATGAAATATGAATGCAGAACAGGAATGAAAATTGAACCAATGTCCAAAATGTAGATCTCTTTCCTATATTTAATTTATTTCCTGTGATTGGAGATAAACATGGCCTGGTTTTCTTAACTGATAAACAACTGTCTATAACCAGAACTTCCTTCCTCATCTTCTTCTCTCCCCTCCCTTCCTTCCCTCCCTTCCTTCTCTCCCTCCCTTCCCTTCCCTCCCTCCCTCCCTTGCTTGCTTGCTTGCTTGCTTCCTTCCTTCCTTCCTTCCTCCCACCCTTCCTCCTTTCCTCTCTTCCTCCCATCTTCCTCCCTCCCTCTCATCTTCCTCCCTCCCACCCTTTCTCTCTTTCTTTCTTTGTGCCAGTACTGGGGCTTGAACTCAGGGCTGGGGCTTTACCACTGAGCCACAGCTCTGCTTCTTGCTTTTTGGTAGTTAATTGGAGATAAGAGTCTCATGGACTTTTCTGGCTGGTTTCAATCCTCGATCTCAGATTTTAGCCTCCAGAGTAGCTAGGATTACACCTTCATCGGCTTTACAGGTCAAATACTTCCAAATTCCCAGTGAGAGCTCTCTTACCCTCTGGTCTTCAGGACTTAGCTCTGACATCAGCATTTCGGTATTGTTTGTGCTCCATTCCCAGCTTCGGTTGATGAAATACTCCAGCATGGAGATGGTTCTCAACAGGCGATTCATGAGCTTTGTCATCCTAATGGAGAGAGCAGAGAGGAGGAAATGTCAGAGTGCAGGGGTGCAAATTTATCCCTCTTCTCCTTCCCCAGCTCATTAGAACTTCCATCAGACACTTCAATACCACCAGATGCCTCTTCTTTTCTATTACCTCTCAAGAATAGCCTATCTATTATCTGTCTGCCTGTGTATCTCTGTCTCTCTATCTCTCCCTTCCCTCCTATTATTTTGAGATTTGAACTGAAAGGCCTCCCACTTTCCCTCTGCATCCCCACTCAAAACTAGCACTATACTATTTGAGACACGCCTCCACTGCTGGCTTTTTGGTGGTAATTGGAAAGAAGAGTCTCTCAGACTTTCCTGCCAGGGCTGGCTTGGAACCTCTACTCTCAGATCTCAGCCTTTTGCTTTCTATTCCCTTTGTATTGTAGTAGAAGTTGGAATTCAGAGATAGCAACTGGTTTCATGGCTAAGTGACTGAAACCAGGATTCAAACCTCAGAAGTCTGCCTGCAAAATCCACATTCCTGGGCCCAACCATATATGTAGCTCTGCTTGTATTATGTAGGTTTTTATAATAAATATGTGTACCTATGGCTACATATATGAAAATACCTGCAAGATGTACACACAGAGAAGCATACAAATTCTCACAGATAAAGGAAAACAAATGGAAAAATAGGCAATTTGCAGAGAAATGTTCAACGAATGAAAGTCCAGCAATCTGGAGAATAAAAAAACCAAAAGTACAATTCCTTTTCATGAGTATGACAATTAAAAGGATTGATTTTTGTCAAGCATTAATGTGAATGAGAAAAACACTGTTTTGTACCTTCATGCATTTAGGATAGTGAAAATTCAGTCTTTGGAGAAATTGAGCTAAAAGATTCATGGCCCAGCTAGGTGCCAGTGGCTCACTCCTGTCATCCTAGTTACTCAGGAGGCTGAGATCTGAGAATTGTGGTTTGAAGTTAGTCTGGACAGGAAAGTCCCTAAGACTTATCTCCAATTAATCATCAGGAAGTCAGAAGTGGTGCTGTGACTCAACTGGTAGAGCACTAGCCTTGAGCAGAAAAGTTCAAGGATAGCACCCAGGTCCTGAGTTCCAACCCCAGGACCAGCACACGCACCAAAAAAAAAAAGATTAATGTCTCCTTAATCCAGAAATCTCATGAAGCACACCACAGACATGGTGACACACTGCACAGTAATGTATTGATAGTTGTCACCTCATTCTTGATGGCAGAAAACAACACTGGGTGGAATGCCTCAATGTATAACTACACTGATCAATGCCCATACATTTATATAAAGGCCTTGTCACTGACACACAGGGACACAGAGTAGAAAAGAGCCTGGCTGGGCAGTCAGGGCAGAGGCCCCTCCCAGAGAGGTTCTGCATCCTCACTATGGCCTTAAGCAGTCCAGTCCAGTCCAGTCTAGACCACTGAGCTGATTGGACCTCAAAAGTTTGTACCATTGAACCAGGCATCCAATCAGAAGGGCTAAAGTATGCATGACAAACATGTGGACTGTATGAAGCCTCTGATTGGCTCTCAGGACTGCTACAGCCCCCAGGCTGTCCAATGATCTTGAGATTTACATAGCTTTCTCCTAGAGACACCACCTTAATCTTGCACAGCGCACCCCAGGCAGTGCCCTCCTTTGCAACCCTCCTATCTACCAGGAGCTCGGCTTAGCTTTTTCTCCAATAAATCACTGTGGTTTAATTTCTCTGTCTGTGGACTCATTCTTCACCACCATCAAGACAAAGGCCCTGATTCAGGTATGGCCATTTGTCAGTATCAAACCAGCTGAAGGAAAAAGATTTAGGATTTGAGCTTTTCCTTCCACAAAAGTCACTGTTAAAAATTTCTATCAGAAAAAAGAACAGCTCCTTTTTTAGTACAAATTAATTTCTTATAAACAAAACACATGGACTGCTTTGGACTCTCGACTTTTTTTTTTTTCTTTTTACACATCGAACTTAAATTCTTTTTGATCCACATCTTCCTATTTGGAAGGCTTTAGCATTCCTGCCCATCATGTTGGCTTTATTCTTCGTTGCCCATTTTTTCTTTTGGTCGGGGGGAGAGTCGATTAAGTCTTGGGGCTTGAACTCAGATCCTGGGCAGTCCCCGAGCTTCTTTGCTCAAGACTAGCACTCTCCACTCGAGCCACAGCTCCACTTCTGGTTGGTTTAGGGAGATGTGTCAGCCTTTCCTGCCCAACTGGCTTGGAATCAAGATCCCTGGATCTCAGCCTCCTGAGTAGCTAGGATGCCAGGGCATGCCCATCTATTTTCAATAAACCACATTCAGATTGTTTTCCTATGGTCATATTATCATTTTCTCTTGCAGAAGTCTTAAATGAGCTCCCTGAAAACATGAATTAGCTTAATATGGATGAAAAATGTTCTGAGACAGACTTCCTCCTTTCTAAAGGGGCTAATAAAATGATTTATGTTTTGATTCTTATGTGTGAAAGAGAAAGAGTACTGGGGCTTGAACTCAAGGCCTCACAGTCTTTTTGGCTTTTTTTTGTGTGTGTGTGTGCCAGTCCTGGGGCTTGAACTTAAGAGCCTGGGCACTGTCCGTGGGTTTTGTGCTCAAGGTTAATGCTCTATCAACTGAGCCATAGCTCCACTACTTGCTTTTTTGGGGTACTATTATTGAAAATAGCAGTCTCATGGACTTGCTGCCTGGGCTGGCCCAGAACCATGAGCCTCAGATCTTAGCCTCCTGACTAGCTAGGGTTACAGGTGTGAACCACTGGTGCCTGTGTTCTTCCCAGAAAAAAACTAGATGTCAAAGGCAGAGGACCCAGCTCACCCATGGAGGGAGGAGTTCAGGCCTTGAAGTGGCCTGGTGGTTAATTGGAGATAAAAAGTCTCAGCCTTGGGCTGGGAAGGTGGCTCAGTGGTAGAGCACTTGCCTTGCAATGCATAAGGCCCTGGGTTCGATTCCCCAGCACCACATAAGCAAAAAGAAAAAAAAGCCGGAAGTGGTGCTGTGGCTCAAGTGGTAGAGCGCTAGCCTTGAGCTGAAGAGCTGAGGGATACCACCCAGGCCCAGAGTTCAGGCCCCACAACTGGACCAAAAAAAAAAAAAAAGTCTCAGCCTTTATTGCTTGGGATGGCTTTGAGTCTCCATTCTTGGATCACAGCTTCCTGAGTGCTAGGATTACAGGCATGAGCCACCAGTACCCAGCTTCTAGTTTCGCTAAGGCTGGCACTCTACCACTTGAGCCATACCTCCATTTCCTCATTTTGCTGTTAATTGGAGATAAGTTTCTAGGATTTGTGTCTGTTCAGGCTGGTTCCTAACAGTGATCCTCAGATCTCAGCCACCAGGGCCAGCTACATGTAACTGTGGTAATTACAGTGGTGACCCCCCTAACCACTAACTCCAGTCAAGTGAGAATGAGATTTGTGAGAAAGGGATTTGTTCCAGGCTTGCACCACTAGAGGGCGACAGAACTGCCCACTTCCTTCTCTTAGGTGGCAGTAAGTAGAGTTCATAATGCTGGCATGGACACTCTATGATGGACACATCCTTGGCTCATCCTCGTCCCTTCCTGACATCATTCACACTTGTTCCCTCCCTTTTCATCTTTAAGGTCACCATGCAATATTCTTAGCCCTGTGCAGGAGACTTAGGATTACTGTAAAGTTTAACATTGCACCCTATTCAGAAGATCCCAGTGACAGCCTCATTTGCACTTCATCTAAACAACTACTTTCTAAAAATTTCAAGCAGATTTCTTTCTTTTTGTCCTCCTTTTTCCTCTCTCCTCCTTCCCTCTTCTTTCTCCTTCCTTCCTTTCACTTTTTCCTTTTCACTCCCTCTTTCTTTTTCTTTTCCTTTTCTTTCTTTCATGCCATCCCAAGGCTTGAGCTCAGGGTCTGGGCTCTGTCCCTGAGTTTTTTGTTTTTGTTTTGTTCTTGAGGCCTGACCTCTGGGCCTGGGCGCAGTCCCTGAGCTCTTCAGCTCAAGGCTAGTGCTCTACCGCTTGAGCCACAGCACCACTTCCGGCTTTTTCTGTTTATGTAGTGCTGAGGAATCGAACCCAGGGCCTCATGCATGCAAGGCAAGCACTCTACCACTGAGCCACCTTCCCAGCCCCTGTCCCTGAGCTTGTTTTGTTCAAGACTAGCTAGCCACAGCTCCACTTGCTGCTTTTTTGTTAATTTAGTGGAGATAAGAGTCTCACAGACTTTCCTCCATTCATGATCCTCAGACCTCAGCCTCCTGAGTAGCTAGGATTACAGGCATGAATCACCTGTGCCTGGCTAAAGAAAGTCAATATTAAGAAATTTGCTTGAAGCCAGGTGGCTCACACGTATAACCACAACTACTCAGGAAGCTGACATCTGAAGATCATGGTTCAAACCCAGCACAACTCTAGTAGACTCTTATCTCAAATTAACCATTAAAACTGGGAGTAGAACTGCAGCTCAAAGTGGTAGAGCACTAGCCTTGAGCAGTAAAGCTCAGGGACAGCCCCTAGGCCCTGAGTTCAAGTCCCAGTATTGGTGCATGCATACACACACACACACACTTCTGTTATAGAGGGCTTTAAGGGAAAGAGCGGTTTGTTACTTGTTATGACTAGAGTTTGTGTTCCCAGTGGTGTGTGTGTGTGTGACTCTTGTCTTCCTCGATCATTGGCTGCAAGGAGGACTAATGACTCTGAAAGTCTCTTATGCCATGCTGCCCCAGCCCCACAGCCCTGGCTTCTCACTTGGGTTTCCTTCCGGTGAGTCGCAGGTAGAAGTCGTAGATGATGGCCGGGGCCCAGTGGCTCACTGCGTTCCAGTACTGTATTGAGAAGTTGTTGGTTGTGAAGTCAGCATTTGGTCTTCTGAAAGCTTTCTCAAATGGGACTTTTTCAAAGGTTGCCAAGACTTGGAATCCTAGGGGTAGGTGTGGGGAGTAGAAAAAGTGTGAAGTCTTAAAGCTTAGCAGCCATTCTATTGGAAGGCATTACGATGTGTCGAAGTATCAACAGTGGAGGATTTGCTGTGTAGTCAGGAAGGCAGCCAGGCACCGGTGGCTTGCACCTGTCACCCTAGCTACTCAGGAGGCTGGGATCTGAAGATTGCCATTTAAAGCCAGCCTGGGTAGGAATGTCTGTGAGACTCTTATCTCCAAGTAATCACCAAAAAGCTTGAAGTAGAGCTGTGGCTTAAGTGGTAGAGTACTAGCCTTGAGCTCAGGGACAGCACCCAGGCCCTGAGTTCAAGCCCCAGGACTGATGCAAAAGAAAAAAATATGCAATTTCCACCAGGCACTGGTTACTTTCAAGCTTACGCTTGCTTTAAACATGCAAGGTAAGTGAGCTTCATGACTCAAGAGTACTATCAAGGAGTACTATCATCTGATTTCCTCAATTTCCTTGGCCATTGGTGATTTCACCTTCTTTGCAATACACCATGAGGGAAGAGTGGTCACTTCACAGAAGGGAAGAATTTATCATTAACATAGTTGGAAATTCACAACTTTTACTTAGTTTTCTTTCTTTCTTTCTTTCTTTTTTGGGTCGGTCGTAGGGCTTGAACTCTGGGCTTGGACGCTGTCCCTCAGCTCTTCAGCTCAAGGTGAGCACTCTACCACTTGAGTTACAGCGCCACTTCCAGTTTTCTTATTTTTTAAAATCTCTGAGGCCAATGGACCCTTCATCTTTTATATTATACCATAATCCTACTGACTTGTTTCTTTCATATACCACAGTACATTCTAGTGAATTATAACAATTTACAATTACAATTACATTTTTCCACTCTTTTTTCTTTTTCTTTCTTTCTTTTTTTTCTTTTTTTTTTTTTTGCTGGTCCTGGGGGTTGAACTCAGGACCTAGGTGCCATCCTAAAGTTTTTATGCTCAAGGCTAGTGTTCTACCACTTGAGCCACAGCTCTATGAATGGCTTTTTTTTTTTTTTTAAGGTTTATGGAGATAAGAGTCTCAGATTTGCGTGTCTGCTGGCTTCGAACCACCATCCTCAGATCTTGGCCTCCTGAGGAGCTAGGATTACATGTGTGAGCCACCAGCACCAGCTCTTTTTTTGTGTGGTTTGAACTCGGGGCCTGGGTGCTGTCCCTTAGCTTTTCGACTCAAGGTTGGTGCTCTACCACTTCAGCTATACCTCTCCTTATGGTGTTTTGCTGGTTAATTGGGGATAAGAACCACGGACTTCCCTTTGTAAGCCACCTTCAAACTATGATCACCATATGTCAGCCTCCTAAGTAGGCATCCAGCCTATTTTCTCTCTACCTATTATAGTTTGTTTTTGCTATTCTCTATGAGTCACTCTAATTTCTTCCCAAGTCAAGCACTAATAGCCCTGCAGTTCCATTGCCAATGGCACTCACCCATCTTGGTCCATTTACATGGATTGAAACTCCCAGATGTACAGTGGTAGATTAATGTTGTTTTAGGTCTGGAGGATGACACAAAAGTTAGAAAAATTAAAACAAAATGGAAAAGCAATGAAAGAGAAGAGAAAATAACATTAAGATAGTGTGACTCAGCTGGACACAGTGGCTCACACCTAGCTACTCAGGGGGCTGAGATCTGAGGATCATGGTTCAAAGCCATTCTGGGTAGGAAAGTTCATGAGATTACTATCTCCAATTAACCACCAAAAAAGCCAGAAGTGGTGCTGTGGCTCAAGTGGTAGAGTGTTAACCTTGAGTACAAAAGCTCAGGGACAACATCTAGGCCCTGAGTTCAAGCCCCAGTACCAGCAACCACACACACACAACACACACACACTCACACACACACACATACACACACACACACACACACACACACACACACACACACGGGAAATACAACAGCGTGTGAAACATTTCTATTTTCATATCCTTTTTGAGTTAAAGTGCAAAACAGAAAAAGACAAACAAAAAAAAGTGTGTGTGTGTGTATTTGTTCATGTAAGCCAACAAACAGGTGAGACATTGTAGAGTATCTTAGTTCACATAAGAACATTTTAATTCTGTGTATCATTTACAAACAAATATAGAAGTCACTATTTTTTGTGTTGGTGTTAGGATTTGAACTCAGGGTCTCACTTTTTTTTTCTCAAGGCTCGTGTTCTACCACTTGACTTCCTGTTTCCCAAGCCACTTATATTTGCTTTCTATTTTCCTATCTGTGGTAGTTTAAACTCAGCATTTACAAGGAACAAGAAATACAAAATATTTGACTGTTCTCTCCTTTGACTTATAAAATGAACCTGTGGTGTAGGTAACTGATTGGAAAGAAAAGCTTTTTGGTTATCAAGAATATTACATAATCAGGTGCCAGTATAATCCCAGGAGACTGAGATCTAAGGATTGAGGTTGAAGGTTAGTCTGAACAGAAAAGTTCATGAGACTCTTATTTCCAGTGAACCACCAGAAAAGCAAGAAGTTGAGCTGTGGCTCAAGTAGCTAAGCACTAGCCTTGAGCAAAAAAGCTCAGGGACAGTACCTGGGCACTGAATTCAGGCCCCAGGACCAGCACCAAAACAAACGAATATTGTTTAAATGATTCCTATGACATGTTACTTAATGATCAGACCAAATCCCAAGCAATAGTTACACAACTCAATAAAGGTATAGCATATTGGTAAGTAGACAAAATGTTGAAACAAACACATGGTCACTTTTGCTGTCTTCGGCAGTAAAACACCTATGTTTTGTAAATGTGGCCATCACCCACCTCGGCCTCATGGCATCCTCACCTGTGGACTGCAGTGTACCAGCCCACTGCAAGGGTAAGATTCACCACCGTGTCCACTGGAATCACATCCGCCACAGCCATGGGGTTTGCACGAATGGACCGCAGGAACCCTTTCCCAGCCTTTACAGGACGAAGCCCAGATAACATCAAACCATAACATTAAATACAAACTGTAATGCTTAATAGGAAACCATACTATTAAATTTAGCTGTGGTATTTAATGTGAAGCCATAATATTAAATATTAGATCCAGCCACAGCTAAATTTCAATTCTACAGATGGCATCAGTACTATCAGGAAAGCAGCAAACTTTGATTTATGGCTTCCTAAATTCTTGTATGATGTCTGACCTCTCTGTCCAGTTCATAGCAAGAGCCAACATTTCCATGAACACTAGTGCTTACTAGATTTCTTTAAGAAATAAAATGTCAAATTTGGGTGAAATTAATGTACTTAATTAAGGAACCAACACCAGGACTAAGTTTTCACATCTGCAAAATTAATTCATAAGGTTTTTGAGTCTTGAACTCAGGGCCTGGGCACGGTCCCTGAACTCTTTTGCTCGAGGCCAGCACTCTACTACTTTGAGCCATAGCACCACTTCCGGTTTTCTGGTGGTTAATTGGAGATAAGTCTCATGGACTTTCCTGCCCTGGCTGGCTTTGAACCATGAGCCTCAGGTCTCAGCCTCCTGAATAGGATTATAGGCATGAACCACCAGTGCCCTGCTTCATATTTTAAGAATTAAGGTTTCCTGCTAGGTGCTATGGCTCATGCTTATAATCCCAACTATTCAGGAGGCTGAGATGTGAGGATTGCAGTGTGAAGCCAGCCCAGGCAGGAAAGTCGTAAGATTCATCTCCAATTAACCAGCAAAAAACTGGAAGTGGGGGTGTGGCACCAGCTTTGAGTACAAACACTAAGGGACAGCACACAGGCCCTGGGTTCAAGCCCACAAACACAAAAAATAGCAAACAAGAACAAAATTTAAAAGCCAAACAAAAAGCAGCAAAAAGAAGAAAATACCCTCATCTTGTGGTAAGGAAAGGAAAATTCTCAATGTTCAAACCCTTTGAAAGACTAAAACATTGCAATTGTCTCCTTTTTTAGTGTTTGAGCAGATAATGAAGCTCTCCCAGAATAAAAGCAGTGGCATCCTGTGTGTGTGTGTGTGTGTGTGTGTGTGTGTAGTAAAGTGGAGATATGTTGTTCTAATTGTTACTACAGTGACACTTATGGGTGGGGTTTTTTTGATTCATGAAATTGAAGATAAGGAGAATGTTGTCATTCCTTCTCTACTACATTACAAACAGTTACTTCCTCTCCATTATACATACGGCAATAATCAATCCACTGGGTCCATTTAGGTTATCAACCCAACCCTACAAAAAAAAAAAAAGGAAATTTCTATCAGTTAATGCATTTAGGAAAAATATTAACTATAATATCTGCAGTTATATATATGTATATATATTTGTGTTTGCCCTGGGCTTCAACTCAGGGTCTGGCCACTGTCCTTGAGCTCTTTCACTCAAGGATAGTGCTCTACAACTTAGAGCCACAATTCTACTTCCAGTTTTCTGGTGGATAATTGCAGGTAAGAATCTCATGGACTTTCCTGCCCAGGCTGGCTTTGAACCATGACCCTCAGATCTCAGCCTCCTGAATCACTGGGATTGCGGGTATGAGCTGCTGGTGCCTGGCTGCAGTGCAGTCTTGCTAAGGTTTTGACTGGAGTGCTGAGACCAACTATTCACTAAGTCTAAACACCAGAAAAACACCAGAGACAAAGTACTGGCAAATCTTAACATTTTATTCAACTGTAAGAATAAAAATCTTGCTCACAGTGATTTTCATAATTAGAGGTATGAGTGGCTTCCTGGATTATTATTATTATTATTCAGTCTTAGTATGATCTTCTAACAAATTCATCAAAAGTAATTTTCTCCCTCAGGGGCCTGATTTTATCTGTTGAACAAAACACTTAAACGAGGTGTTGGTGGAGCATGCTGAAATCCTAGCTACTCAGGAGGCTGTGGTCTATCAGAAGCCAGTCTGGCCAGAAATGTCTGTGAGACTCTTCTTTCCAATGAACCAGCCAAAACCCAGAAGTGAAGCTGTAGCTGAAGTGATATAGCTAAGGGACAGCACAGAGCCCTGAGTTCAAGTCCTAGTACTGACACACAGAAATATTTGGGATATAATGGTATATGGAGTTAAAACCAAACTGGTCCCTAGTGAAGAAAGTGGAGTTTTCCTGTTTACCATGGCAGTGATGGTACTTTTCAGTTTAGCCATGAAGAACATTCTGGTATAGTACAAGGATAATGAGAAGCATAAGTCGTGAAACTATGGGGATTTTGAGATGAGAGTTAGAGGATATTTAAGGACTCCAACTCCACCCTAGTTTGTTTATTTATGCCTTTATTTGTGTGGTACTGAGGCTTTATCTTGGGACCTGGATGCTGTCCCTTAGCCTTTTCTGTCCAAGGCTTCCATCCGAGCCACAGCTCCACTTTCAGCTTTCTGGTGCTTAACTGGTGATAACATTCTCTCCGATTTGCCTGCCCTGACTGTCTTTGAACCATGATCCTCCTATCTCAGCCTCCTGAGTAGCTGGGATTACAGGCGTGAGCCTCCAGTGTGGGGCAGTCACAGCAGCTCTCAGTGGAGCCCTGATCAATGGCTTTCCCATTTACTTAGCTGTGCTCAGCTCTAAATCCCAAGGAGCAGGGGTTAGCCTGGGGTGGGGAGGAGGAGGGCAGGCAGAGGCACTGCATGGGAAGGCCCAGGTGGTGGGAGGCCAGCGGGAGGAGGTGGCTCACTTACCGGGAAGGGCTCCTGCCAGGTGGCGCCCACGATGGAGGGCCTGATGATGGCCGCGTTCAAGTTTTGGCCTTCCTGCTGGATCACTGTCTCCCCCAAGGCCTTGGTGTAGGTGTACGTGTTGGGCCGATCCCCGATGAGCTTGGGAGTGATATCGTCAATAATCTTGTCATCTAACCACCTGTCGGGGACAGAACTCCGACAGTGGCAGGCCTCAGGGACAGGAGGAGAGGAACCCTGGAGAACTGAGAACCTGTCCTGCCACCCCTGGGCCTGTGACAGCACCAGGGACGAAGGAGCAATCCTGTTCTAACCTCAGGCAGATCTTACGCTGTCCTTCCTCATAGGCAAGCAGATGAATGCAACAGATAGCCAGTATACTTTTCTTTTTGTCGGTCGTGGGGCTTGAACTCAGGGACTGGGTGCTGTCCCTGAGTTTGGGGTTTGTTTTTTTTTTTCCATTTTCTTTGCTCAAGACTAGTGCTCTACCACTTGAGCCACAGCTCCATTTCCAGCTTTTTGGTGGTTAATGGGGAATAAGTGTCTCAAGGACTTTCCTGTCCATGCTGGTTTCAAATTGTGATCCTCAGATCCTGGGTAGCTAGGGCTACAGGCATGAACCATCAGCTCTGGGCTTGGATCATGGACAATCTTAACTGGCAGGGGTTGGCAGCTATGACCATGTTATTTGAGCATTCAAGATGTATTTGGGACTAAGATTTATTGAGAATCATGATTCTGAATTTTAAGTACTCATTTGTTATTGAAGTGGAACGTAAAGATCATCTTTAATGTTTTATTTTTCCTTGACTTATTTATCACATTGTTAGCAAGAATGGGATTTGAGCTCTACCTCATGCTTGGTTGACAGGCACCCTACTACTTGAGCCATTCTTCCAGCCCTGCTTTTGCTGGTTATTTTGGAGATTGAGTCTGGCAAACTTTCTGCCTCAAATTTTAATCCTCCTTATCTCTGCTTCCTGAGTAGCTAGGAGTATAGATGTGAGCCACTGATGCACAGCTCAGTGTTCCTTTCCGTGGTTGTTGTTCACGGAGCTTGAACTCAGAACTTGAGTACTGTCCCCAAGCTTTTTTACTAAACACTAGCGCTCTACCATTTGAGCCACAGCGCCATTTCCAGTTTTCTGGCAGTAAATTGGAAATAAGAGTCTCACAGACTTTCCTGCCTGGGCTGGCTTTGAACTGTGATCCTCAGATCTCAGCCTCCTGAGTAGCTAGGATTATAAGTGTGAGCCACCGACACCCGGCTAACTTCTTATTTTTGTTTTTTACAACATATATATGTGTGTGTGTGTGTGTGTGTGCATGTATGTATGTATATATTTTGTGTTGATACTAGGGCTTGAACTCAGGCCCTGGGCGTTGTTCCTTTGCTTTTTCTGATCAAGGCTGGCCTTCTATCGGTTGAGCCACATCTCTGCTTCCAACTTTCTGTTGGTTAGCTGGAGACAGTAGGCTCAAGGATTTGTCTGCCTGTGGTGGCTTTGAAGTGGCTTCCAAGCATCCCACTCACTTACTTTATTAATCAGAAATCCAAAGAATCAAAGAAACAGCAGCCCCCTCTGGCCCTCCCTCGGGCCCCCCCTCTGGCCCCCCCTCTGGCCCCCCTCTGGCCCCCCCCTCTGGCCCTCCCTCTGGCCCCCCCTCTGGCCCCCCCTCTGGCCCCCCCTCTGGCCCTCCCTCTGGCCCCCCCTCTGGCCCCCCTCTGGCCCCCCTCTGGCCCCCCCTCGGGCCCGCCCTCTGGCCCCCCCTCTGGCCCTCCCTCGGGCCCCCCCTCGGGCCCCCCCTCTGGCCCCCCCTCTGGCCCTCCCTCTGGCCCCCCCTCTGGCCCTCCCTCTGGCCCTCCCTCGGGCCCCCCCTCTGGCCCCCCCTCTGGCCCTCCCTCTGGCCCTCCCTCTGGCCCCCCTCTGGCCCTCCCTCGGGCCCTCCCTCGGGCCCCCCCTCGGCCTGCTTACTCCATGGATGCGATGATTTTCTTCGGCTCCACAGGACTTGGGTAGATGACTTCGTCAATATGCTCCAGGTTGCAGTTGGAGAAGGCAGTGGAGAAGTGGATGAAGGCCTCCAGCTTCGGCATCTGACTGGCCATCTGCAGCAGCTGCTGTGTGGCGGTGACGTTCAGCTGCACGGCTTGTCTGGAGAGGAAGAAGCAGAGGTAGACACAGCCTGCCTCAGCCTCCCCTCCACCCACAGGATATTGTCCACATAAAAAGACAAGGAAGAGCTGGGTGCGGTGGCTAATGCCTGCAATCCTAGCTGCTCAGGAGGCTGAGATGTGAGGATCACAGTTCAAAGCCAGTCTGGGCAGGAAAGTCCATGAGACTCTGTTATCTTCAGTGAACCACCAGAAAACCGGAAGTGGAGCTGTGGCTCAAAGTGGTAGAGCACTAGCCTTGAGCTAAATAGCCAAGCAAGGGTGCAAGGCCCCGAGTTCAAGTCCCATCAGACATACACACACCAAAAGAATAGTCTGAGGAATTTATGAGTTTCATTTAAAATAGAGTAAAAATTAATTGGTAAACTAATAAGTTTAAATAGTTAAATAATAGTAAATGTTTATTGTTAAATATTTGTTTAATAAGTTGTTAAGCAAGGTTAAAATGATTGATAAACTGTTAACTAAATTTAAAGACTAACCATCAGTTAGAAATACATGAAGCTACCCTATAGTTACATCACTCTTCTAGTAGTAGAATTTTCCTTTTTTAACATTAGGTAATTTTTTTGATGGATTAAAGAACGAAGTTTAAAAGTAAAACTGTAAAGCAATTTAAAGGACAAATGGAATAGCTGCTTAAATGGTAAACTGTTGAAATGTTTTACAAAAGACAGCTTTGATATATGCTCATCTTCCAAGAAGTCTCAAAATTAATGAAAAAATCCATTTCAATTGAAAGTAAGAAGAAAAACTCAAACAGGTATTTCATAAGAGACAAACATTGGCACAGGGACATAAGCATTGCCATCTTCAAATCACCAAAGGAAAACATAAAACTATGCATATCATACATAGTGGCAGCACTGCAAGGAATTGGAGAACTGAGCCAGGTGCTGGTGGCTCATACCTGTAATCCTAGTTACTCAGGAGGCTGAGATGTGAGAATCAGGGTTCAAGGCCAACCTATGAGACAAATCTGAGAGATTTTTATCTCCAATTAACCAGCAAAAAGCCAGAAGTGGCTTTCTTTGTGTCTCAAGTGGCTTTTTGGTGGCTCAAGTGGTAGAGTCCTAAGCTTAAATAAAACAAACAAACAAACAAACAAACCAAGTGAGAGAATGAGACTTTGAGTTCAAATTCCAATATTATTTTTAAAAACCCACAATAGATTAGAGAATTTTAGTATGAGTTATCGAGAGACCAATAACAGTTGAATCTTTTGTAGAGAACAGCTTTTTCAAGCAGTTAAAAACAAGTCATGTGCTAGAGTCCTAGCTACTCAGGAGGCTGAGATTTGAGGATTGCAGTTCAAAGCTAGCCTGGGAAGGAAAGTCCAGGAGACACATCTCCAGTTAACTGTCAAAAAGCCAGAAATAGATCTGAGCTGTGGCTCAAGTGGTAGACAATCTTCAGAAAAAAAAAAAAAAAGGTTCAGGGATAACACCACCATCACCAACAAAAACTTGTATGTTGTTTGTAACCTTATAACCTAGGACATGTAATATGTACCTAACCATTTTGCTTCTGAAAATTGGCCCCATGGAAAGCGCACAGAAAGGCATTAAAAACCATGCACAGAGAAGCTCATTGCTGAGCTGTTTATAGGGCTGAAGAATCAGAACAATGCAAAACTCCACCAATACAAAATGGCTGATTGCTTTACACATGCACACCCTGTGACACCAATGTGAACATTGCAAATTAGCATTAAGTATTAACAATGATGGTTAGCCAGAAAACAATTGAGTAGGATGCAAAAATTCTCAACAGGATGTCTTTTTCCTTTTTGTAATATTTCTTTTTTTGTGGAACATATTTCTAACTACTTTTACATGTGGAACATATTTCTAAATAGCTTTATATTCGAAAAGAAAAGTCAGGATGTAGCCAGGTGCCAGTGGCTCATACTTGTAATCCTAGCTACTCAGGAGACTGAGATATAAGGATTGCTGTTTGAAGCCAGCCTGGGCAGGAAAGTCTGTGAGACTCTCATCTCCAATAAACTACGCCAAAGGAAAAAAAAATAGGCTAGAAATGGTGCTGTGGCTAAATGGTAGAGTGCTAGCTTTGCACAAACGAAGCTCAGGGACAGCAACCAGGCTCTGAGTTCAAGAAACAGAATTAGCAAATAAAACAAACAACAACAAAAGTCATGATGTGTGTGTGCTGTCTATGACATTCAGTGATAGTCTTTGGTGGTGACATTATGGAAAATTTTTTCCTGTCTGTATTTTTATTTTCATGGAAGATATATATATATGTATATATACATATACATATATACACACACACGCATGCACATACTGATGTATACATACATATATGTGTGTGTTTTGTTACTGTTGTTTTTTTTTGGGTCCGGTCATGGGGCCTGAACTCTGGGCCTGGGCGCTGTCCCTCAGCTCTTCAGCTCAAGGCTAGCGCTCTACCACTTGAGCCACAGCGCCACTTCCGGCTTTTTTTCTTTTTGCTTATGTGGTGCTGAGGAATTGAACCCAGGGCCTCATGCATGCAAGGCAAGCGCTCTACCACTGAGCCACCTTCCCAGCCCCTGCTACTGTTGTTTTAGTTTTGGTGGTGGTACTAGGACTTGAACTCTGGATGATGTCCTTTAGCTTTTTTTACCCAAGGTTGGCAACTCTACCACTTAAGCCACAGTTCTACTTCTGGCTTTTCGGTGGTTCACTGGAAATCAGAGTGTCATGGATGCTTCTGCCCAGGCTGGCTTTGAACCATGATCCTCAGATCTCAACCTCCAGAGTAGCTAGGATTACAGGCGTGAGCCACTAGTGCTGTTGTTATGATTTTTACAACCATGCTAACTAAAGCAGGACACATGCATGTCACATGCAGGCAGGCACACAGTGATGCATGTGGCACCCAGGGGAGGGCCGCACCTGAGGTTTTCATCAAAGCGCACGGTGGCTGCGCAGTGGAAGATGATGTTGGTGCAGGACAGGAGCTCCTGCATGTCCTCCTCGCTGATGCCCAAGTCGCTGTGGTTGAGATCTGCAGCTATGGGCACGATCTTCTTGTGAACGTCCGGACATGCTTCTTTTACTTTCTCGAAGAGCTGGAATGGCAACAGAAGTCCATGTGCAAAGAGCAAAGGCATCGCTACCACCACTGCCGCCACTGCCACCACTGCCACACTGCGGTGTGCCGGGTGCCTGGTGTAACTCACTGGTACTTGCTGTGATGCTAGGACCACCCAAGCAAGGTGCTTCCTGACCTAAGGTCTGCTTGCTTTCTCTCCTGTAGATGAAAGTCATTCCTGCTCCTAAATTTATAAAGGTTAGTTCTAGTAACCAACAGGCTGAGGATTTTGTGTGCATGCATATGTGTGTGTGTGTATGTGCATGTGTGGGCACTCATGTACTAGTCCTGAGCCTTGAACTTGGAGCCTAGGTCTTGCCCCGAGCCTTTTTGCTCAATGCTAGTGCTCTATCACCTGAACCACAGCTTTTTTGGCAGTTAATTGGCAAGGAGAATCTCAGGACTTTCCTGCCTGGGCTGTCTTTGAACTGTGATTCTCAGCCTTCTGAATTCCTAGAATTACAAGTGTGAGCCACTAGTGCCCAGCTAGGCTAAGAACTTGGAACTAGGCCTGAAGGGAAAAGCTTCCTCACATCTTGCCCTGATCCACACCAAGGCTGGGACTCTGAGACTCACCCTCTAGCTCAGCCTGCTTGCTCAAGGCAGGTGTTTGACCATTTGAGTCATACTACCAACCCATCTTTTTGCTGGTTATTTCAAGATGGAGACTTGTCTGACCTGTGCTGGCTTTGAACTATGATCTTTCAGGTCTTAGCCTTTCTGAGTAGCTTGGATTACAGGTATGAGCCACTGTACCCTGCTCTAGTTTTATGTTTACAAATGGTTATAATTTCCATTTCTATTGAAATAATTGCTTTCCAAACAAAATTATCAGCCTTTCCCAAAAAACTAGCTCAGATGCACAAGATGTTTTAGCAACACAAACGTAATTAGAAAATTAAAAAAAAAAAAACCAGCAAGCTTTAATGAGTGAAGCAAAAATTCAATGGAATTTCATTCTAAGGTAAAAGGCAATTCATATCTAGAATCAGACCTGATTTTCACCTCTGAACATAACACTCAAGACAGACACTGGTGGCTCACACCTGTAACCCTAGCTACTTAGGAGGCTGAAATCTGAGGATCACAGTTTGAAGCCAGCCCAGGCAGGAAAGTCCATGAGACTCTTCAATTAACTAGCAAAAAAGCCACAGGAGACAATGTGGCTCAAGTGACAAAGCAATAGTCTTGAGAGAAAAAGTTAAGTGTGAGAGACCACACACTCACACACTCTCACACTCACACACTCACACTCACACACACAGAACCTGCCATTAATTCAGACCCCTTCCCTTGCATTTCACAAGTCTAAGTGGTATAATGTGCTCACAAAGCAGTCACAGATAAGAAAATGGATCCACTTATCTGGTTCTGTATAACAAATGGATTTCAAAACGAACACAATCCTAGCTACTTAGGAGGATGAAATGTGAGGATCATAGTTCAAAGCCAGCCCAGGCAGGAAAGTCCATGAGAAAACCAGAAGTGGTGCTGTGGCTCAAGTGGTAGAGCGCTTGCCTTGAGCTGAAAAGCTCAGAGACAGTGCTCAGGCTGAGAGTTCAAGACCCATGACCAACAAAAACAAACAGAAAACAAGAGAGGGAAGGAAGGAAGGAAGGGAGGGAGGGAGGGAGGGAGAAAGAAACTTAATAGGTATACCCAATCAATAATCGTTGAATGTACAAATTCAACACATGATATTTGATCTCTTTTTAGATAACTTTATGCCCAACACACAGTTCTTCTTTCTTATAATTCTTTATGGCTCCTCTCATTTGTGTGTCTTACTTGTGAAGTCTGACACTCTGTGAGTGAACCATGGGCTTCCTTCTTTCATAGCCTCTGAGTCAACCAACAACTGACCCTAGGGCCTGGTACAGTGGTGTATGCCTGTAGTCTCAGGTAAATAAAAAGCATCAATAGGAAGACCACTGTCCAGATCTGGACCTGGAAGGAGACTTTAACTGAAAAATACTTTAGGCAAAAGGGAGTATGGCTCAAGTAGTAGAGCACCTGCCTGGTGAGTGTAATGCCCAATTTAAACTCCATTCCCCAAATGAACTAATCAACCAGCCAGCAAAGCTTAAACCTGACCACACCCTTTGGTTCCGGTCTTCAGAATGAAATCTATGAACAAGAAGAGCAAATGCCTCAATACTCACCACCTTTAGACAGCTGCTGGAGGGTAATAAGAAAGAACCTTCCAGAAGGTTCCAGAAGGTTGGAGCCATTAGCCACAACCCCAAAAATGATTGAAAGAAAAAAAGAGGCTTCTTCTCACTGGAGGCTATGTGACCCACTAATGCTCTACTGCTTCAGCCACAACTCCACTTATGGGTGTATGTGTGCGTGTGTGCATGCGTGTGTGTGTGTGTGTGTGTGTGTGTGTGTGTGTGTGTGTGTGTGTGTACCTATCCCAGGGCTTGAACTCAGGGCCTAGGCACTGTCCCTGAACTATTTGTTCAAGGCTAGCACTCTACCAATTGAGTCACAGCTTCCCTTTTGGCTTTTTGCTGGTTAATTGGAGATGAGAGTCTTGTGGACTTTCCTGTCTGGGCTGGCTTTGAACCTCAATCCTCAGATCTCAACAGCCTGAGTAGCTAGGATGACAGGCATGAGCCCTGGTGCCCGCTGTCAGTGTTATATTTAGACCCTTCCACTGCAGTAAGCACTTCAAGAAGTTTCTGGAACATCAATACTACCACAGGCAGTGCTTTGGTTTTTTTTTTTTTTAATTTTTTATTGTAAAGATACTATACAGAGGGTTACAGTTACATGAGCAAGGTACTGAGTACACTTCCTATTGAGTATTCTTACCCCTCCATTGTTTTCCCCCTACCATCCCTTCCCTCCCTACCTTCCCCGAGGTTCTTTTTTTTTTTAATTGTGGTTAAGTGATTATATAATTTCCCAAATTTCACAGTGTTGTGGAATAATGATGCTCATTTAAAGTCACAAGTTCATTCTAATTTTCCTGGACCAAATTGTCTATCACAGTCTATAACATATCATGGTGTTCACATGTTATACACCATACATGTGATCAGCAGCATGGGGATATTTAGTAGTGGTTCGACCAGATGAGTGGGAGTTCTTTGTTTCTTAAGTCCTGTTAATTTTGTCGTATCACCTAACCTTTTGGATTTAGCATCCACTTATCAGGGAGACCATGTACCATTTGTCTCTTTGCTCTTGGCTTACCTCGCTCAACATGATTCCTTCTAGCTCCATCCATTTCCCTGCAAATGTATTATTTTGTCATTTCTAATGTCTGTATAATATTCCATTGTGTATAGATACCACAATTTTTGGATCCATTCATCTGTGGTGGGGCATCTGGGTTGTTTCCATATCCTAGCTATTGTGAACAGTGCTGCAATAAACATGGAGGTGCACGTGTCCTTGTATATTGGTTCCTGTTGTTCAGGGTAGATGCCTAGAAGTGGTATGACTGGGTAGTAAGGGAAGTCAATCTTTAGTTTTCTAAGGACCCTCCAGACTGCTTTCCAAAGTGGTTGTATAAGTATACATTCCCCCCAGCAGTGTAATAGGGTTCCTCTTTCTCCACATCCCCTCCAGCATTTGTCATTGGCTGATTTGTGGATGTGGGACATTCTGACTGGGGTAAGGTGGTATCTCAGGGTTGACTTTATTTAGTGCTTTGGTTTTTAATAATTTTCAGAGCCAATCTTTTTAAAATTTTCAACATTAAAATTGTAAATGTTGTTAACATTTGCCATAGCTTTGAACAATTTTCAATTAATTATTGTTAAGAATCTCCCCTGTTGGTGGCTCAGTGGTAGAGCGCTTGCCTTGCATGCATGAGGCCCTGGGTTCAATTCCTCAGCACCACATAAGCAAAAAGAAAAAAAGCCGGAAGTGGCGCTGTGGCTCAAGTGGTAGAGCACTAGCCTTGAGCTGAAGAGCTGAGGGACAGCGCCCAGGCCCAGAGTTCAGGCCCCACGACCGGACCCAAAAAAAAAATAAATAAAAAAAGAATCTCCCCTGCTCTAGGCTGAGAAAAGCACCTCTGTTCCCTCCTTGATGTTTGGGATTCTGTTCCCTGAAATGCTATGGCCCCCAGCAAACCTTGCACAGGGCTTACCTTGCTGTTAAGGATCTGGAAGGTTCTCTGCTGGAGGCTTTGGCCAGCCTTAGGTCTCACAAGGATATAAATGACTTTCAGGCTGGGGCTGGTGCGCAACAGCTTCTCCATTAACACCTTGCCCAGGAAGCCTGTGGCCCCAGTGATGAGAATGGATTTGTTGTTGTAGAAAGCTGCAATCATGGACATGCTGTCTCCTTCTTGGCACTTACAGATCCTGGAAGATGTTCCTTAAAAAATCAAGAGGAAACAACAAAGCTTAGGGCTGCACGCTGAGCTCCTCAAACCCACAGCCACTGGTGACCAGTCGAAGCTTTCAGACGATCTGAACACAGTAGGGAAAGGTCAGGCAGGCCGGCCATGAGTGCGCTCGCAGCTCAAGCTCATACAGTTCCATCTCACCACAGCTATCCAGTTTTTTCTTCAAATTATTTTAAAGTGGTTGTACAAAGGGGTTTCAACTCAACATGTCAGGCAAGGAGTACCATACCTTTTTATCAATGTCACCCCTCCCATCGTTCTCCCCCCCTCTACCACCCCCACCCAATCCCCTCAAGTTACTCGGGCCCACGTTCACCTGTGTACATTGAATATGATGACTGCACTCACCCACCTTGTCTTATCCTACCATTTCTGAGTGTCTGTGACATGTCCCTCCTCGGACAAGACCAGGGCTACAGTGCTGCTCCTGGCATTGAGCCATTTGGAAAAAAAAAAATAGAGATAGGAGAGGCTGATGGAGGGAAACCCAGATCACAGTCTTTGGGGTTCAGGCAGCAGCCGCTGCTCAAGTTTATGTAGCAAGAGCATGGGGAGTCTATGGCTGCCACAAAGAGCAACACTTGTTGGAGAGGAAAGCTCCAGGGTTTTGTCTCCTCATTAAGCTGAAATAGCTGAAGACTGGGAATTGCATCGCTTGGACCAACACGGAACAGGAACAGGTGTGCTTTCTCTCCACCAGCTGGAAGTCCTTGCCTGCCTGCCTGCCTGCCACAGATGCAACCCAGAGACTTTAAAAAACAATAACAAAACTAGAAGAAAAGAGCAAACACCTTGCTTCTTTAACTCTAGTAAACACTCTGGTCAATGCTAGTAACTCTTCAAGAACACTGATTTCATATATATATATATATATATATATATATATATATATATATATAATTTTTATTTTTTGTTAGTCGTGGGGCTTGATCTCAGGACCTGGGTGCTGTCCCTGAGCTTTTTCACTCAAGGTTGGTGCTCTACCACTTGAGCCACACCTCCACACCCAGCTTTCTGCTGGTTAATTGGAGAGAAGAGTCTCATGGATACTTCTGACCAGGCTGGCCTCAGGAGAACCTTGCAAGCCTCAGATCTCAGCCTCCTGAGTAGCTAGGACTTCAGATTTCTAACCAGCTTTGTCAATAGCTCCCACACCCACAAAGATTTGTGAGTTACTCTTGACACGATTTCTAATGAGGCCTCAGCAGGTTATCATCAGAAACCAACATAGTGCTTTTTTGCTGTAAAAGGAGAAAAGGAAGATAAAGCTATCAGCTTCATCATACAGGTTAGCTCCAGAATCTTTGGAAGCAATACAAATTCTGCACAGCTACTGCTCTACTTGCTGTCAGAAACACGCATCTAAGCCCGGATGCTGGGGGCTCATGCCTGTAATCCGGGCTAGTTGGGCGGCTGACATCCTGAGAGTCAAAGTCAGCTTGGTTCAAAGTCAGCTTGAGGTGTGGCTCAATTGGTAGAGTACCAGCCTTAAGGAAAAAACAAGCAAGAATTCAAGCCCCAAGTAGTGACATGTGCTCTCATTTCTGAGAGCACCACTTAGCAATCTTAGGTTCCTTTCACCAGTGAGCTTATTATAAAAACTAGAGTTTCAATTGGAAAACTTAGTGGGGGAATAGCAGTACCCAGGGCCTTATGGGGACCTGCAGGCTTCACTAATTGAAGCAGCCAAACGCCATAGTCAAGAAAAACCAAACTGGCAAAAGTCCCAGCTGGGAAAGAAGGCTAAATTTAGCAAACACTCCAATATATTCTTCCTATGTGATTTCTGTGAGCTTATTAAACTTTCCAAAGTCAAGCAGATTTAATCAGTATCATAGATTAAACAGGTTTTGAGTACCTACAATATGCTACATACTGTTAAGTGTCAATAATGAATTTGTAAATATCCTCGCTAATTGGGGAAGCATTCTAAACATGCAAGGTGTTATTATTGCTCCTAACAAGTCAGTCAAAGATTAGTTCCATGTTAAGGATTATCAAATGGTAGCCAGACTGCCATCTAGAGATGTCAATCTCCATATTTCCTAGTTTCTCTGGCTGGTTTACCAATTGAGTCAGATTACAAATAAAAGCTCAGTTGAGCACTAACTGAAAGAGAATAGGAATGAAACTGAATGACTAGGAAGCAAAACATTTTTCACACTTTACTAAGAATTCAAGAGTTTTGTAAAGTGATGACATAGGTTATCTTTCTTGTGTATGTGTGTGGGGGGGGTAGTATGTACTAGGACTTGAACTCAGGGCCTTGCACTCGGTGTTTTCACTCAAGGCAGAGCACTCTACCTCTTAAGGCACACTGCCACTTCAGGCTTTTTGCTAGTTCACTGGAGAAAAGAGACAAATGGGCTTTTCTGACCAGGCTTGTTTTGAATTGAGACCCTCAGATCTCAGTCTCCTGAGTATCTGGGATTGAATTTAGAGTTCTCCAGAATAACCACCAAGAGGATTTTTGTGTGGATTTGTAGTTGCATGTGTTTGTCTATGTCCAGAGATAGAGACAGAGACAGACAGACAGACAGAGACATAAAGAAAGAGGCAAAGAGAGACAGACACAGAGAGACAGACTGACAGGCAGAGACAGAGGGAGACACGGGGGTGGGGGGCGGATTTTAAGGCACCTGCTCCCCTGTTCCCACAATCACAAGTGCTTGGTAAGTATAAACCCTGCAGAATGGAGACCCAGACAAGCGCTGAAGCTCAGATCCCACAGCTCTCTGTTGGCCGAATTCTTTTTGTTCCAGAAGATGTGTCTATATTCTACTGAGACTTTCAACAAGTGGGTGAGTCTCACACATCTTTCTGTCTTGGAGGGAGAATCTGCTTTCCTCAGACTTTAACCATGTAAATATTCATCCCACACAATCAACATCACCACAGAAACATCCAGAAATAACGTGTGACAAAGTATCTGGGCAGACAAGTGGACACCCAAAATTTAACCATCACAAGTTCATGGTAACTTGGTTCCCCATATGTATCTCTTGAAATCAGGCAGATCCTCCATTCAAAACCCAAAATCCAAGGTTGTGACCCCAGCTGACATGCTCTAACAATCCCAAATGCACCCAGATTTTCCCTAGAAAAGGATATAAATTACTTGGTTATGTTTCCTCTTTTCCTTAATAATTATTTAATTACTAAGATGGAAAGTTAAGGCTTAAACACCATAACCTGATGTCAATACATCAAATGCTGCAAGATAAGGGGAAAAAAGAGAAAATGGAAAGAAAACAGATACCTAAGCTGGGAGCCAGTGGCTCATATCTATATTCTTCGCTACTCAGGAGGCTGAGGTCTGAGGACTGAGGTTCAAAATCAGCCCAGCCAGACAAATCAGAGAGACTTTATCTCTAATTTAACAGCAAAATGTAGGAAGTGGAGTTGTGGCTCAAGTGGTAGAGTGCCAGCCTTGAGTGGACAAATCAAGCAAGAATGCGAGGATCTCGGTTCCAGACCTGGTTCTGACATAAAATAAAACTTGAAACAAACAGATATTTAGAAATTCATCAAGAGGAATTTAACTGAGGAAATTGTTTGGAAACAAAATGATTAGGATTTGTGAAGACTTTAATAGGCCCTAATTAAAGGATTTGATTTAGCATCATGAACCTAAGAGACTATTGACTCATGTACTAACACCAAAAAATTGTACAAATTGTTATTTGTACAAAAAGACTACAGTATTTTATATATAAAAACATACTAGAGAAGTCGTGTTGTGGCTCAAGTGGTACAGTGCTAGCCTTGAACAAAAGAGCTCAGGGACAGTTCGTAGGCCCTGAATTCAAGCCCCATGACCAACAATACATAAATAAATAAATAAACTTTTCTTGGCAGGTAGTTGGTTATCAGAATTTATTAATGCCAATGAAAAGATAATTTGTTAACTATCAATCAAAAGAACATGTTCGGTATGTATGTCGTGTGTGTGTGTGTGTGTGTGTGTGTGTGTGTGTGTGTGTGTGTGTGTGTGTATGTTGTAAAGTAAGATTCTAGGAGCTTAACCATTGCCACATATCAGTATTTTTTTTCCCTTTCTTGTGCCAGTCCTATGTCTTGAACTCAAGGCCAAGGCACTGCTATCATTGAGTTTTTGAACTCAAGGCTACTGTTCTACCACTTGAGCCACAGTTCTAGTTCTAGCTTTTGGTGGTTAATTGGAGATAGGAGAGTCACAGACTTTCCTGCCTGAGCCGGTTTTGAATCACAGTGATCAGATCTCAGCCTCCTGAATAGCTAGGATTACGGTGTGAGCCACCAGTGTCTGGCTTCAATAATTAATCTGTGTATGTGTATGTGTGTGTGTGTGTGTGTGTGTGTGTGTGTGTGTGTGCTAGTATTGGGGCTTGAACTCAGAGGCTCACATTCTAAATAGGCTGGTACTCTACCACTTAGGACTTAGGACACACCTCCAACTTCCAGCTTTTTGCTCGTTAATTGGAGATAAAAGTCTTACAGATTTTCCTGCTTTCGCTGGCTCTGAACCCATTATCTTCAAATCTCAGCTAGGATTAGAGGCATGAGTCACTGGTGTCCAGCTAAATAATTATCCTTTAACCAGGTGAGAAGTCACTTTTCTTTTTGGAAGTCTAATACGGAAGTTGCTTCATATGCAAATAAATTTACTTTGGTAAAATAGAAATCTTTTTTTTTTTTTTGTCTGTCATGAGGCTTGAACTCAGGGCCTAGGCACTGTCCCTGAGCTCTTTTGCTGAAGATTGGAGTTAGTTCCCTATTTATATATTAACTTCATTTAGAACTTTCTTTTATAAAGCCAATTAATGACTTTCCAAAGCCAATTAATAACTCTGCAATGACACTTTTAAAGGCATTTAACAGAACTGACGGTCTAGTTTTCTTTTCATCAGTATAAGGTTTGAATTCAGGGCCTTGCACTTGATCAGCTT